GACTTAAATTTGAATTGCATGACATAAAAATAAGATAAATTATAATTAAGGGATAACCATTCTCATTATATAAAACAATATGAAAAAAGGAAGAACAAAAAAGCTGGTAGCTTGAATACGTTAAACCAACCATGATATACACGAGTCAAACTAAGCAATAAAGTGCTAGATGACTTCGTCCAGTTTGTCATCGCAACAGTTCAAAACTTCAAAAGAGAAGCAACACTGGCTAATAAATTATCGCAAAACTTTCAACATGTCCATAGGTAAACTGCAGAGTATAGAGTCAAGTTTCATGAATGAGTACTATGATTAATTGAGCAATTCTTACACTAATTATAAACATGCAATGAGCAGAAGATGGGAATTGCTGAGTTCCGTGAGAATATTGGAGAACCGTCTTACCAGACTCTATTTACATTTGATGGTCGGCTTGTTCTATATCTATACACCATTTTCTCAACCTCCTCAAATCAAATTAGGTACTCATAATACACTGAGAAAAGGGCGTCTGGGTAATCTTTTGGAAGGCTGCTGATATAGAGGTAGAAACGCAATAAGTCCTCCTTGGAAACTGTTTTAGGGTCAACCACATCTTCATTACATGTTAGCACCCATAGATCTTCAGAATTAACTCTTTTCATGCTCCCACGGCAAAAAGGGCAGGACTCTGATTTTGTGTTCCTGTAATTTTGATGGAAAACTGTGTTTAAGAGGAGAAAGACAAGAAAATGATCTTTGATATTAAGATAAGTATTCATATTGATTGAGGGAGACATAAGAGAGATAATATCATTCTGCGTACCAATTGCGATAGCATCTGATGCACATTGCATGGCAGCAATTGGGCAAAACCATTTTGGTGCAGGGCTCCAAGCAAATTCCACATTCATCTTCTCTCTCCAAATCCATGCTTACAGATCTACTATCTAGTTCCAATCTTTTTTTGCTAGAACTCTCTGCTTTGTCATTGTTCAATTCCCATAAGTTACTATGAAGCCGTTGAAGAGATGGTAATATAACACCTGCAATTTGGTTGATTTGTTTAAGATAATGTCGTGAGGAACTATGAACCTTAATTTGATTCAAAGGATGATAGCTTTACACACCATAAAATTCCCTAATTGTTGCCTTTCTCCCATGTCTAGATAGGTTTGATCTACCATCTGCATATACCTGTATTTTATAGCAAAGCAACCAAAAGAGCAAATGCATAAGTATATATATGTCATATGAAGAAGTGATTGAACTTGGTAAAATATTTTATTTTGAAATATAAAAGTGAAGAAGAACCAACCTTGTATACAAGTATGTGAAAGAGGTTTAGATATCCAGGGAGTACACAGGTGCATGAACAATCCATCCATTGAAGCAAAAACAGAAAGAGTGGTGCCAAATGATTGTACGCCAATTTCATTTGAAGATGTGCACCACCTTTGGCTCTTGGAATTGAAGCAGCCCTAAAAACCCAAACAGTAAGACAATCAAATTTTGCTCAAAGGAGGTAAAGGAGACTAATGAACTTAAGCCCATCCATAACAACGTCTTGATGACAAAGATAAAAAGAATACTTCTTAGTTCAACTCAGTACCAAAAAGAAGGGAAATTTCTTATTATCTACAAGCAAAAATGCTGTTTAATCACTGGTATTTCAATCAGCTAATAAGCAGAATCATAATGCCAACGCAAGAGGGTGGAGAAGGGAAGGTGGGGGAAGGGATAAAAGAAAAAGATTATAACAAGACGAACAGCAACAATAGAGTTGACCCATATGATAAAATACAGAGATTTAAACTGACAAGAACTGGTCAACGAGAGCCTACAGCAAAATCCAGAATTGGATGGACCCTCCATTCCTCCAGTCAATTCCCAGCCATAACACAAACAATTAGAATAACAATCAAAGATGAATTTAAGGGTAATAACAACACAGAATCCAGGTTGGGTAAATTTTCCTCTCCCAAATTAGCATGTCCACTAAACACGAGATTGATCACGATCATCATCATCAAGCTCAAGAAATTCATACAAACAAAAGAAAAAAAAAAAAAGAAATTTAAGTTTCAAACACGACCAGAAGAAATGAAAACAAGAAAGAAAACTCACAGAGCGTTTGCGTGCTGTATATCAGCCTCCAGCACTTTCAAAGGGTCATGGTAAGAAGACTTTGCCAGCTGATAATACATCATCTCCTTCACTCCTCCTCCTCTCTACCCAAGTTCCACCACAGGAAACCCAGAAACAAGAACACAGAACAACCCTGTCTACCTCCTTACTACCCAAAAAGCGGGCGCCCAAGTTCCCTCCTTTTCCAGAACCCAATTCCCCAAAGCTACCAGAAAGCAAGAAAAGCAAGAAAAACAAGAAAAGAGTTGGTTTTTCCAGCTATTTCCCTCGTCGATTTCAGCTGCTTCTTTACCCTTTTATGGAGCGGCTGCGGTGAGAGAGAAATAGGTGTTTGTCTTTGTTTTTTATGGTGAGAGAGTGTGAATGAGTTGTTTATTTCTATGCTATGATGTATTGGTTTGTTTCTTTGCGGGATGGATGCCCCTCCACTTACTCTTATCTCTAGTGTCTTATGGTTTCCTTTCTTATATTCCCCCTACTCCTCTCCTCCCTTTCCATAAATAATAATAGTATAAAGAAAAATAATTTTTGTATAATCTTTTTTATTTTTTTGAATAATTTAATGTGTTATTATTGATTTTTTTAATTTATGTAAAATTTATAATATTAAATTTATTTATTTATTTAATAATATATAAAAATTATATAAAAAATGATATAAAAACAAATAATAAAAGCCACTGTAAAAAATAGCCACAAAATGGTGTTGGTATTAACCTACTTAAAAAAAAAAAAAGATTGCCGTTTTCAATCCGTTCCATCGAAAAAAAAAATAGTAGATATAAAAAAAATTAAATTATCATTAATAAATATTTTTTCAGCACCCCATTCATTAATAATACTTTGTTCTTTCACCCTCAAAATTAATATTTTTCTTCATGGTCACTGCAGAAAAAGTTTTTTCTATTAAGAAATTTTTTTGGTAAATTTTTTTTTATTAAGAATTAAGTATGATACAATGGAGTATTTTGGGGTTTTTAATTCTATAATCAAGCCCACAGAAGCAGAATAAGTGCCTTCTCATCAAGGTATCCCTTCCATGATCATCCTACATGTGATGAGTATGGAATAACGTGGTAGTTCTTTTTTCCCCTTAAATGATAAAAACTTCATATATGTATATATTAATAAAAAAATTATAAAAAAAAATTATCTTACTATGCTTTTTTTAAACCATTAGTTTGGACCAAGGGGTTGGGGGTGATCAATGAAAAATTAACGAATTAGGTTTAAGCAATTATTGTCAAGTCTTTGCTTTCCCGGCAAGAAAGGGTGTGAGTAGATAATAATAATACACACCCAGATAGTTCAATTTATCTAAATCTATTATATAAATCACCTGTCTGATTTTTGGTTTGTTTGGTCAACCAAACCCTCCAGTTCAAAGGTCCAACCTTTGGTAGGGAGATTGGCTGTAGCCAGGTCTAAGATTTGCCAAACCACAGGACATATTGCAATCAACACAACAATTCTGTTAGGCAACTTAACCCCACCAGCAATACTATCCTGGTATGACCTTCCTGGATTCACCATGTCTTTTAATCATTGGACCAATGTTTCATTGATTAATCTATCCGTTCTAAAGTACATCTAATAATTGCTGGAAGCAAAGTTTAATGTCATATATCACATGAGCAACACAAAGAGAGACTAGATTTCATGTATTAAGTATACAAATATAAGAAGTATCTGTCAGATATGAAGTATGCTTGCTTATCGTGTTTTACCCATGTTTCCTATCTTACCAGTGGGATCAGCATATGAAGTATCTGTCAGATTACAGTGATAAGCAAGATATGAGCCAGAGCCAATAAGGTGAAAACTTATCTTGCAGATGGGACCAAGGAACCATTTGATACATCAGGGCTCTCTATTTCAAGAAGGCTTGTTAGTAAGGTTTTCCGGGAAGATTCACCCTTCAAGCTACTAGAGCCTGGTTTTTTATTGTCCTCGGTTCCTTTTTCTATCTTGATGGCATCTTGTATGGCCAAAATTATTTCCTGCATCCTTGGGCGGGAATATCCATGTCTTTCAACACATTGGATGGCTACTTCAGCAATCCTCCAAATAGACTCAATTTTGACATGTCCTAGTAGAAATGGATCAACAATGCTTATCACATCTCCTTTCTGTATCAAGGATCTCGCCTGCCAAAAAAAAAAAACGAAGTTTTTTTAATCTTGGGTTTGTTTCCATCAAAGGATTCTAAATGTAGAACTTTAGCCTTATAAATTCTGATATGTGATGGTGTATTTGTATCCTTAACTTGACCATATAATCCAGATAACTATGGTTCTCTGCCTTTTTACAGAAGATGCGAAAAGATTAAAATCTAAAGTTAATGAGAGAATTTAGCCAAGTTTACCCAGTGAACAATGTTCAGTTCAGCACCAAAATCTTCCATTGAAACGGGTTTTCTTCCAGATATAAGTTCTAAAAGAACAACTCCGAAACTGTAAACATCACTCTTTTCAGTCAATTGTTGACTTGCATAATACCTGTTAGAGCATATAATAATCAGCTGAGCACATGGGGGAAGGAGAAATAAGATAAACTATGCCTAAACGACAAGCATTTCTTACTCAGGATCAAGGTAGCCGACTGTTCCACGAGCCACACTTGATACATGGGATAAGTCTTCTTCCGCTTGCCTTGAAAGTCCAAAATCTGACACTTTCGCCCTCATATTAATGTCTAGAAGAATATTGCTTGTTTTCACATCTCGGTGAATGATACTTGGATTGCAGCCAGTGTGCAAGTACTCAAGGCCTACCAAAATCTTAATTATGTTTATACTCCAAAATCAAGCACTAATGTACTGACAGATTTAAAAGTAAATTTTCAAACCTTTTGCTGCATCTCCTGCAATTTGTAGACGAGCAAGCCAATCTAAGCGCTTCAGGTTGATTGAACCTGCCAGCAGATCAAGTCAAGGATTTGTAGTTGTTTTAACCTCAACCTTTTCTTTAAGGTGTTTTAACTGCAATTAAAATGCCAAACAAATAGGAAAAATGATAGGTTTCATGGTTTAGGGGCAGACCATATATGTGATCCCTCAAAGTTCCATTATGCATATATTCATAAACTAGAATCCGTTGATTTCCTTCTTCACAGTATCCAATTAGAGGAACCAAGTTTCTGTGATGAATTCTTGAAAGTAGTGCAACCTGCAAGTATGTTACTTAAGTTACTGAACAATGAGATGCAGGTTAGTTTTTCTTCTTTTTTTTTTTTTTTTTGTGAGAGCTTACACTAACTTAGATTCTATCATTTACCATCTGATATCTGGATGGCTTGATAATTTGATGATTGTATGTCAGAGTAAAAATCATAATATTCTAACATTTTACAGATATAATGTATATCATATCTAAAATCTTTTTATTTCCCTCTTTTTATCTCATTAAGCACAATGAGAATTTGGGAATCAAAAAGCTGGCTTCTTATTTCATTAATCCTTCTCGAATGTCTGCAAACGCACAATATTCATTCAGTAAATAAGGACTCTATAATGTAACAGCAATGCATATCGTACATGCAAAGGAGTATGTCAAGGAAGTTAAAGATAGATGGGCGCATAGCTGAACATAACACTACCTCTGTCACAAATTGCTGTGTCAACTGACTAGATGAATCAGCCATTATTTTGACTGCCACCTCTTTTCCATCCTGCATTTGGCCATAGTAGACAGAACCAAAACTTCCTTTGCCAATCTTATTTCTAAAATTATTAGTAGCATTTACTAGTTCAGACAGGGAGATATGGCATGCTACACCTTCATCAGGTAAATGCCCACCCCGAACGATTGAATAGGCTGCTGGAGATTTGGTAATAGCATGCAAGGAATCACCTAAAGAGAAATATGAAAAAGGAAAACAAGTGAACAGTGTTAAAAGCTAAAAGCTACAGTGTAACATGAAAAATGCTGAAGTGCATGAACCTTTTTCATCGCTTCTTTTATGGGACATATTTCTACACAGGTTACGAAACAATAGTAAACTTCCCAAGAAAACAACAAAGAGAACTGCAAGTATTCCTATTGAAGCTCCAAGTATTAACTTAAAGTGCATCTTTCTTTGTGCTCCCTTATGTAGTCCAGGATTGCCTTCATAGCTGAAAGAGAACGTAAGTAGACGTTTATGAATTAGTGTGACAGATTAGTAAAGCAAAACTGTCTTTGTTCCTTATAATCTGTTATTATTATTTTTATTATGTTATGGCAGTGAAACCATTCTATTTTCTTATTTGCTACTATTTCAGCTGAAGTATATGCAGTTCACTTAAGTATCTTAGCAAGTTCATGATCATCTGCTGGAAGAAAGTGCCATAAAGTAAGTACAGGGCTAATTATACTTTTTCCTTCTACTAGGGAAGAATTCATCCGTTGGTACAATCTGAAAAAAAAAAGAGTCAGTTCTCTTTGTTAAAATATAATATATTTGGGCAATCTCAGACTTCTTTTGCTGCTGAAGCAATCTTTGACATTATCAATTATCTTTGGCAAATGTTTCTGATATGATTGTGTGCCTTTGTAGAACCTACATTTTGGTATTCCTTTAACAAGTTTAAGGTTCAAATAGTCACTAGTAGTGTCATTTTGTTGTTAGATGTTCTTGCAAAAAATAGACCACTAATTTAAAGTTTAATAAGATAAGCCTTAACCAGCAGAAGCATACTCACCTGAAAATTACTTTTCTAGTTAGCAATGCTGGGGGTATTTCACCAGTAAAAGAGTTGTTTTGAATATACCTGCAAAAATAAATAGACTCCCAGTTATGGAAATATTTAATTTAATAGAACATTGAGGGGGGGTGGATTGGGAAACCTAAGGCAGATCAATTGGACCTAATTTGATTCTAATTTCATAAAAAATGAATTGTTTATTATGATAGTAAAATAAGATTGCTGATTACAGTTCTTGTAAGTTTGGCAAGCTGCCCAGGGCTGAAGGTAATGGACCAGATAGTTTGTTGTTCTCCAAATGTCTGCATGGAATCAGAGGAAATGAGTGAGAAACAAAATCAATATTTCATAAGAAGCTAACATCATAAACAAATTCTATAGTAACAGCACACTCTTAGTTTATAACGATGGAATTAAACTGTACAGTAGAGAACTTACACAATCCTTAAATTTATCATGTTACTCATATCAGGAAGTTGTCCTGAGAAGAAGTTGCCGTCCAACCACCTAAAGAAGATGAGACTCATTCAATGGTTTGTGATAGGATGTAACAGATACAGAAAAGTGAGGCCTAGATGTAGCACAACAACAGCACTTACAGCTCTGTCAATTCCTCCATGTTATTAAGCTCAGATGGAATTTGGCCCTTCACATTCTGTCTTGA